GTTGGAAGATTTGACAATTATAAGCTGTGATCAGCTGAAGTGCATTGTAGAAGATGAGGCAGATGTTGGAACTCACATGAACTACAATTATTCCATCTTTCCAAAGTTGAAATGGTTAGAAGTTTCAGACTGCAATGCAATGGAATATTTATTCCCAGCACATGCTTTCGGATGCCCTGCGTGTATGGTGAGAAGCCTACCAATGTCGCAGAAGCTCAGTATATCAAAATGTGAAGAATTAGTTAACATTGTTGAAGAAGATTATGAAAAAAATGATGATGATCATCATTTGTGCCGTGAACCATGCTTTCCCAACTTAGAACAAGTCTTTGTCGGTTCTTGTGGCAAAATGAGGCACCTGTTCTCTATCCCTATTTCTGGTATCCTTCCAAAGCTAAGATCTTTGAAGATAGGTAGAGCCAATGGACTTGAGCATGTACTGGTAAGACAAGGAGAGATGAAAGAGATGGCCATGAAGGATGATGTGCTTCCACAACTAAGTCAATTGAATCTATGGAATCTTCCCAACCTTGGTAGTCTCTGCTATGGGATTGATTTTCAAACTTTGAAAGGAGACAATAACACGGAAGTGGATGATTGTCCCAAGTTTTCCTTTTATGGTATGCATTCAGAGAAGTATTTATTCTCTATAAAATTGAAAATTATTATATGAGCTTTATTATAACATTAAAAATCCTACTTTCAGAAATTCCAACTACTCAGCTTCAAGCAGATCCGGAAACCACATGTTGTCAAGTTGAAGAAAAAGCAGAGGAGAAGCTTTCTTCTCATCTCAATACCGAACAGTATTTAAATATGGGAGAAACAACACAACAATCCCTCGCGGAGGTATGATTTTGATTGCTAATGGCATCATTTTACTGCTTCTCCAATGGTCCCCTCATAATATGTTTGCTTGATTATTTTAATTTTGTCGCAATGGTAAAAAATTCTATCCTTTTTATGAGAAAAACAGAATTTGAAGATCATATTTAAAATGCTGAAAATACACCCGCGCGCGGGTACACACAAGTGTGGTGTATTCCAACTGCTTAATGAATTTGACATGAGCTGGAAAAAAAGGAAAAAAAAAAAACTTATAGTTTTGGACAGTGTATTGAAGAAACAATATATTTTTCCATAAGCATGCTATTTTAAAAACACCAAAGAGACATCATCATCATTTGATTGATTTTTTGTTACGTCATTTGATTCTGATTTTACGAGGTGGCAGACCTTTAAGAATTTATTTTAATTTTATTAAGGAGTGGGTTGGAAATCTGAAATAAAAAAAATTAGTAAATAACGATTTTTTTTTACGAAGGAAATAAATAAAGTTACTGTCATACCTTATTTAGGTTCACTAATTAAAAATGTTTAGCCATTTAAGAACCACTTATGATCCCTTAGAATCCCAGAAAGGTCAACAATTAAAAAAATTTTCCCCGAAACACTCTGGGTTCTATCACTAATGCTTTCCTATTATTGGGATAAGATTCTCCAAAATATTTAAAAATTTATAACTAATGCAATATAGCTCCAAAAATAGTGGTTCATTTTTATCTGCCTTAAGCATGCAGGCTGAACAGGGCGGCTTCACAAATTTAATTTTGTGTCTAATATTCCCAAACTTAGGCTAGAGACTTGCCACTACACCTCTCTGCTAAGCTCATTATCATATTCGAATTTAACCAAAACTTGACTTCCACTTACAAAAAGTATGCTATCCAAAACAGGGCTTTTAGACATGCCTTTGGTGTAGTTTGGGAATTTAAAACACTTGTTACAACATATCAAAACTACGTTTAAACCTCTTTGAGTCACAACTTTGAGTCCAAACAGGGGATAAGAACTAAAGTTCAGAAGGCTAATGCTTTGATATTCCTATTGCCCATCTAATCACTATGTGGGAGCCACCAAACCCTTTACCTGTGCAGTTCATGATCATCCGCTTTAAAAGTTTTGGATAGCCTTCCCTTTACATTTTAAAATTTTCCAGATTCATAAAATCCTCTTTTAAATACATTGAGGGGTTTAGACTTTATATTCAACCAAACCTAATTCTCTCTATGCCAATTACTTTGAAAGAGCAAGGGAAGAGGATAAAACTTGGTTTAACCACTTCACTTCATCCATATTTCACCTCGAAGCCTCTAGGTATTTACCGTATTTTAGTTCCCAATTAAATATAAATTTAATACATAATGCAACATTAAATTTGTGGGAAAAATTCAGCTTCTGAATTCCAGATTTCAGCTCCCATAAGAGAAGTCAAATAATAATAGTAACCCCACAAGATTTAATCTGTCATTTAAGTATGATTTCTATAGCTTAATGCACCTGTCGCTCACTCTACTGTCTAGAAAACAGATTTAAACCTCTCGTCTACTTGCAAAACAAACAGCCACTGCAAAAAATATTGATGGAACAAGGTTTAAGGTCCTTACCTCGTTCTAAATGTTCGGTTGCATGCGAGGGAAGAACTTTCCTTCTTCGATCAATTCTTCGCCTCCCCTCAGCCCTCTCTCTCTCTCTCTCTCTCTCTCTCTCTCTCTCTCTCTGATGCTCTTCTTTTTTGGACCTAGTGCACCACATCCAATACTCTTCAAATTGGGCTATGCGTTGGCCCAATTTCTTTTTTAGACTAGAGATAGTGAAATTGCTATTGTACCATCACTATCGGCACTAAACTTTCCTAATAAATTCCAAAAATTAGTTCGCGACACATTATGAAGATTTTTTTTAATTAGCTTCTCTAACTCCTAAAATAAGTTTTGTAAAATTTTCAGGCTGAACATTAGCCTCCAACTATTTTAAATTCAATTTTCAGAAAAAAAGGCCCTTATATCCCATAAATTAGTTTTAAAATTATAAGTCATTTCTGGAAAATATAAACCTCTTCATAATATTTCTAAATTCTCAAAATAGAATAATTTTAATAATTACTTTTTTATTTCCTTGAATTCTCATACAAAATAGACTTTTTGACCAATAATTTATTTTTGAGACATTTAAATTTTAAATAATGTCCCTAAACCTCAATTATGCTTTCAAAATCTCTTCTCTACTTCTTGAGTCTCCACTAAAATTTTGGGCCTTTTTTATAATCATAATTTTGTTCTATATTTTCTCTTATTTAATCTTTTGCCCCTCAGCCCACCATATTTTTCAACTTTTAGGTCAACTATCTTATTTAACCCATATTCAAAATTTAAATATTATAATTACTACTAAATATTTTAGCTAATTCATTAATTCTTTTTCATGCAGAATGATTAGAATTGATTTAAGAAAGGTATCACTAAAACTAACATTAATTTTTTATTTATAAATTTTTATTCTTTATTTATGTCTATCACACAATAATTTTCTTTCTTTGCTTTAAAGTTGTCATATGAACTTTAACATATAATTTGAAGGGGATAAAATGGGGAAAAAAACTCAGATCAAGTATGTCAAGTTCTCCAATCATACATGACCATGTGTCTTTTATTGTTTCATGTGGATTTATAGTTAAACATTAATATTTTAAAAATAGGACACATAGTCATTGATGATTAGAGAACTTGACACAATAGATATAAAGAATTTGATATGACTATTATCCTTTAAAATGCCAACAAGAAACTCTTAATACACATAAATATGGTGGGTGTGTGTGTGTGTGTTCCAAATTTATTATTGAATTTGACTTGAACTAATAAGCAAAGTTTTATCTGTAGTGCTGGCTATGCAGAAACAATATTGATGTTGATGAGCATGATATCTTAAATGTGCCAAAAGAACATATCGTCATCATCATCATTATTTTTGGTATGCTGAATAATGAAGAAGAAAGGAATCCTAGTGTTAATGAATTCAACGTTTGAAACTTTTTTTTTATCTTCTGCTATATATGAAGCAACAAAGAATACTATTGAAGAAGGTCCTAGACCAAAGTTGCAAAAAACAAAAATTTTTAAAACTTATTTGTTAGCCAATCTCTTTAAAGCTTAGTTTTATATATGGGAGAATTGCAATTAGGTGCCACTGAAGGGAATTAAATATAAAAAGGTCCCTTGAAATCATGAAATTATTCTGAAGTCCCAAGGGACTTTTTTGCAATAAATTTTATTTATTTAATTACCAAATTACCCTTCTTTTTTAAAAAAAAAATTGTATTGACAACTGAAAGAGTAGTGGTTGACAACTCAGGATGCAAGGATTGACAACTATTGTGGCTGGTTTGACAACACATTTTCTCAGCATATCACACCATAAGTTGTCAAATCAGCCGCGATAGTTGTCAATCCTTGCACCTTGAGTTGTCAACCACTGCTCTTTCAGTTGTCAATGCAAACTTAAAAAAAAAAAAGGGTAATTTGGTAAGTAAATAAATAAAATTTAATGCAAAAAAATTTCTGGGACTTTAAAATAATTTCATGATTTCAAGGGACCTTTTTGTATTTAATTCCCTTGAGTGGGACCTAATTGCCATTTTCCCTTTATATATTGTGGTGTTGGTCTGGGTGCAAAGAAAACAGCTACACTAATTTATCATCTTTGTTTTATATGACCACTGGTTTCCAATAGAAGGTGCCAGTTCATGCAAGTCCCAACTTCACTGTTCTTTCTATAAGAGATAACACTCACGCAAGTGCTAAAATATTTGAAGAGGAAGATGAAGAGGAAGAGGAAGGTAAAATATTGATTTGTTAGTTTTGTATTAGAAAAATACTAGTTATTTATTTTATGGGTTTACAGACAGCTTGATAACATCCCGACGTCCCCGAAATGGCAAGAAAGTTAGCAGTTCTTTACCAGAGAAAAAGCTTGAAAACTCTACTGATGGTACTTGCTGTTTTCTTTAATTAAATGAAATCTTTAATTAATTTCTTCCTATGATTTGATATAATAATCATTTTTTCATAGGTGACCCACGTGTGCCCCCAGAAACAACCGTTTCGAGTGAACAAACGTCAACAAGCCTTAACCAAACTCCTTCATCTAATATTCCCAAGCATTCTGATGGTAAGTTTCCTTGCTGTCTTCTTATATTGACACTTCATTCAATCATTGTAGTGTCAAACTTGCCAAAACCATATATCGAGACTACCTTATCAAGCAAAGACAGATGTTGCTATAAGAAGTACCATCGACCTTATAGAAGATTCTAGTCTATGCTCTAGTAATTCTACTCATTGCACGTCTGATCTTTACTTTATTCAATTATTATTTTTAATTTCCATTCTAACATCACTTCATTAATCTAAGAGATATATCTAAAATGTTGAGACTACTAACTAGTGAACTCCAATAATTTAGATTATGTTGAAGTTTGTGATAAGTCTCATCCGCATTCAAGCTCTTCATTTGAATGTGTTGACGGCGGGGAAAACAAGGAAGCAGGTATGGTTCAAAATGAATCTATCTCGAATGTTGAAATAAGTAACCCAGCACAAAGGGAACAAGAGTCGTCACATTCTAAAGGTTATTAACCTATTTCCTCTATTGTTGAACATATAAAACATAAGTGAACTTGAATCTTCTTTCCTGTGATCCATGTGAGTACTTCTCATTCTGCATAGTTGATTTCATTATCTTCATTTTCTAATGCGATGGTCTTTTTCTGGGCCAAATTCAAACAATATATCAATTGACAGATTCACAACCAACAAGAGCAATGCCAGCAACACTTTTTGTTGATATTTCCAAAGAAGAATCCTCGAAGGTAATACTATTGCTATTTCTTCATACATAAAGATTATAGGTTTTGCTTTATATTTCTATCCAGCTAGTTCTACTACTATTAGATAAGATTCATGTATTGTCATGCCCTATTATGATAAGTACTGAGCAACTATCATAAAAGCGTTTTTCACATTTACATAGATTGAAACTCAAGATTTTGTATTTAAGAGACCTTAGTTTCTTCGACTAAGATCAACATCTGTTGGCATAAGATATAAAAATTTATTCTAGATAAAGTGGAGTTATCCCACTTTCTCATGCACAGCTAAAATGCATTCTCATTCTGTCCACAAGGAAACTAAATTTGACATACAATCTAAGCAAAAAAAACAACTTAAAAGTTCATTGAGGATTATATTTATGATGGTTTATCGCCTCAGAAGAAAGCAACTTAAATATCTTTGGTGATATACAGATTGTTGGAGTAAGAGCTGAAGATGGTGCTTCAATATTAGAGACCCCACATCCAAGTTCGTTAACTTCTAAACAGGTTTGCTTCTTCCAACAATTTTACAATTTAATATATTTGTTATTCCTATATTAACAATTATGAATGGTTTATTGTACAAGGGACCTATTCCTGTGAGTCCCAATCCCACTATTCTCCCCAGAAGCCCAGGTACAACTGCCAAAATTTTTGAAGAGGAAGAGAAAGGTAAGATGATAGTGTCCACAATTTCAAGATTTATAGCTCCTTTAGTTATTTATCTTGGGCAGTGAATTCTTTGCCAGTAGGAAAAGAGCACAAGACTTTTGATCATGGTTTTGTGGCTTTCTTAAAATGAAATATTTCTCGCTGTGATTTACTAACTATATATTTATATACTTCATTGACTTGGTATAGGTGACCCCTTTGTGCCACCAGCGCCAATTATTTCAAGTGAGCAGCAAGCTAATGAGACAATAAGTCCTATACCATCAAAAGCTCTAATGAGTCCTAAGCAAACCCCCATGCGCACTCCCTCTGAGACTTCTTATAGTGAGTTTTTTTGTTGTCTTATTTTACTAATTTACCTTCCACTTTATCATTTTGTAATTTTAGAAAGATGTCATATTCTAATTGCTTCATCCAGGAAGAAAGATCCAAGAGAATGTTGGAACCATTGACCACCGTTTGCATGAAACTTTGGGTGCTATTCAAATTTCTAGTAAGTCTTGTGTCCTTGCCATTACATGTTTGCATGTGTTATACTTGACTTGATTCCTTTTATTGAATGTGAGTATTTTGATTCTCTGACCTTGCTTTTATTTTAACTCACCTGCTGATTTGATGGTTTTGGTAGGTCAACTTACTGAATGTGGCTCATCACACATGGCTTCTTCTATTTATGATACCAATAATAATGTCTTAGGTGTTCATGGGATAAAAGAGATAGCTGATATGATGAAATTAGAGGGTGTTGAGCCTTTCATGCTAGCAGAAGCATTCCAGACTCATCCACAACTTCATCTTTCTTTAGAGGATCGAAGCACTGAGTTGTTATGCTATTCCTATAGGCTGCTACTAAATATTTTGAACATTCTGGCCACTAGGAGCCCCTCCACAATCACTGAGGCGGACAAGATATTGTTGGCAAAGCATTTAAAGGATGCTTCTGTTCTAGGATTTGACAAGGATTGGCTTGAGTCAGTTAGGAACAGGGTTTCCAACTGTGATGCATCAGAACTCCATCGCATGCAACAAGCTTTGAAGGGTTTAGGCAATAAGCTCCAAGCCAATAAGATAGAGCTTGCAAATATTCGAGACCAGGAGGCGAAAGCTGCAAAATTGGTAGAAATGACTCAGAAAAAGTTGGAGGCCACACATACAGAATTAGAGGCAGCATATAAAGGGTTGGAAGCAGCTCAATCCCATTTTAATGTCGCACAACAAGAACATGCAAACATTAGAGCACGTTATTCTCAACTCTTAGAAGAATGCCAGGGAATTTCAGAACAACAGTATCAATGTTCAGAAATTATTGCTGCCAAATTCAGGCCTTTCGGCTTCTAACATGGATGCCATGTGAAACTTTGTTATTGCTGTTTCAATTAAGGTCATTGTCATACCTTTATTTCAAATAAAAAATAAAAGTAATACTCTCATGGACATTGTAATATTACCGTACCTTTATTTTGCACAAGGATCGTGCATGACATTACAGACTTGTTGTACCTAAGGGTTATTTTCCTTGTTAAGATCTTATATATCTGTGTTGGGTTTCTAGATGTGTTTATCTTCACCCATTTGCTACTAGTTAAATAGAATATAGTGCATAATTAAGTACTTTGCTCGCCACTGACACATAATATGTTAACATCAGTGTCATGTATAATTGTCAAAGGGATGCTGCATCTCATTGTTTAAATTTTGGCTCTACACATTTTCTAATTACATGTTTGAATTTTTAATTCCAGACCTCTAACTGAACCTCATCCAACTTATCATTCAAGCTATCCTCAAGTGACAAAAAATTACCCAACTTAATTTGCAATTTTGACTTCAATAACATTTTAAACTGATTTATTTTAGAATTATCAAAGACATTTATTATAGATTTAAAATTTATTCTGAAAATATTATCATTTAAATTTTGTTCTTAACCTAAGAATTAGTTAGATAACTAGTATTTTTTATGTCAGCATCTTTAGCTGTATGTTAATCAGTTTGCACGTGATTTGTCTTCAATTTATTTTATTATCCTAAAATATTTTGATAGATATTAAGCAACATAATAAAGTTTAAAATTTTTAAAACAAATTTTAAGTAAAAAATAGTTTTTAATTACTTTCTGTTAATCAAGAAATCACCACGTTAACTAAATAATTTACAACTTTTCATTGGCAAGCCAATGGTTTGAAATTTCAATTTGATGGGTAATGATTTTTGCATTTAATCGAAAGCATATTTAGTTTTACCTTAATATCTATCAAAACTATATAATAATTCTGTTTTGGGTAAAATTAGCTCCTAATTGGTTTTTCCTACGTGCACAAAATTATTAGTTTCTGATCTATGAAATATTCAAGCGCAAGGATTAAGAAATCAAGATGTTAAGCATAGAAACGACATACATAATATTATACAAGACCAGGCCAATCATGAAAACAAGATGACAACTCCGTGGGGGAATGATTAACAAGAGAAGAAAGGAAGGAAGAAAATGATAAGAACAACAGATCACTTAATCAGAGACTACTCTCGGATGAGATTGTGCAATCTCTTGAACATACCCCAAAAAAAAAAAGGCTTTATTCTGACCAAAACTTCACGAAGGCATCTACAAAAGCTCTGAAAATAGCAAAAATTGGATTTGTTTCTTGTCTCATCGAATGTTTAGGCGTCCCATCCCATGACCCTCTGCAGAAATAGCATATGGAAGTTAAGTTAGCTAAGGGAAAAGAAACCTAAGCAGCAATAGCTCACATCTAAGTGACATGGCATTTGAGATCAACACGGTACATTTGAGATGCATACATGATACTCTTCCGATCCTAAATATAAGACTCATTTTGTAGTGCAATTCACACTACAAAATGGGTTTTATATTTAGGACCGGAAAAGTATATACTTACAGATTGATTCTTTCTAAAGTTGGGTTGCCTTCCTGGGAGCTGCCACCAAGCTGACCATTAACTCCAAGCTTATTCATCTTCTCCTGGGTTTCTTCTTCAGTATTTGACTCCTTAGCAGAGGTGCGAGTGAGAGTCTTGGCACGAGAGCCATCTTGAATTTTTGTCTGACAATGAATTTATCTATCAGAGAATTTCTACCACGTGAACTTCCAAAAAAAAAAAATCCGCGTGGCTCTCAGAACGGCTGGTGACAAATATCATTGTTTTGATTGTAAGTATGCCAGCTTAACCACCACACGTTTACTAGAACAAGGGGATATATGTCCAAATAGAAGGATGAAAAATTTCAAAGCATAAAGATTTAAAATCCAAAAAGAGGATGAAAACTCAAGGAGGTAAGAGACTGAGGGAGAGGAGAATACACATCGATAATTCCAATTAAAAGTGGAAATCCTGGGTTTGCATAATTTCCCCACTATGCTAGGAACACTAGCTTCTTGTACCGCAAACTGAAAAGTTACATTCTACAGATACTTGAAGATACCCAGAAATTAATGTAAGTCCAAAATAGTAAACAGAAGGTCTAACTGGTCTCGGGTGAAAATAAAATGTCATCACAACATGAATCAGCTTATCATCATGAAGACAATAATCTTGGCATAACCCTTATCCAAACTTCTGAAACTAACAAAGACTCGTCTCTCTAAATGTGGAGCTAAAAATTTCAATCCTCATCACAGGGATCCAAAGTTTAAAAAGACTTGGTACCAATGCAAAAGTTCATCATTAACACCAATTTCAGAAACACTGATTTTCTCACGACCTTGCAGCCAAAGATCACTCATATATTAATGCGGAAAATGACTTCAATAAGGAAGAAATGCATCTAACATTTTTCTTCTTGAAAACTACACTAAGTGGGCCAGGCTTTATTTAGACTCTCCTTTCCTCTACCATCATCTCCTTAGCTCTATCCTCCCCTCTGTACTTTCTTCTCAGTCCAATACCTATATGCTGAAGAGCACTGGGTTTTTGCATCTCTATTCTGACTCTCAAACCCCCCCACCCCCTCACATTTTCTCTCATAGGGTTAGACCCACAACATTTAATGCAACCCCCCAACCCCCAACATGGAGCAGGAACTTAGCTGCATACTGAAGTATGTCAGCTATTAGAACATTTGTTTTGCAACCTCATGCAAGAAGGGAGGGTGGAATACTGTTAATTGATTTGCCGGTTAACATGGTATTAGAGCCTTTATGACCAATTGAACAGAAGTTCAGTCCTGGCCATTCCTTTTAACTAAATTAAATTTTAGGACAACATGTGGTAGGCCTTTTTTCTATGCCCATGCTTAGAGCACAAGAGACTTTTAAGTGAGGGGCCTGTTAGATTTCATAACAGAACTATTCCCAAACCTCAACTCAATAGGGAAAAAAAAAACAAGTGAATACATGGATCTTTAACACAACAAAAAGTCTTGTCCCACTAGGTGGGGTACATGGATCTTTAACACAGCTATACATCATTTATTTTTACAACAGAAAGTGGTTACAATTTTTGACATATTTTAGCAGCATGCTGGTGCATAAATATAGAAAAATAAGGAAGAAGAGGGAAGGGGGGGAGAGGAAAGAGAACAAGAGAAGAGAAGAGAGAGAAGAGAGGGAGATGAAAGAGAGGTGCATAAACTGAATAAAACTTTCAGATTAAGCATAGGATATTGATTACAGACTGCCTTGTTTATATAGGCACTTACTAATGACTTACCATACCCAACTCATACTTCTATAACCGCCTAAACTTCCTTACAGCCATAACTATATATAACTATTCATATTTTTGTATCTTTTACAGTTACACAACACATGCTGCACATCAGTTTCAATGAGTACTAAGAATACTGAAAGGAGGAAAATCTTTGGGATGATCAGATATGCAGAATATGCAATGAAAACACAGGCATATGCTATACAAATGTGCTGATGCACCAGAACGCTTAACTTTAACAGTCAACATAACTTACTAGCTTAATGTATTGAATCATGCAGACAACAGCACCAAGCATCCCTAAATCAAAAGTCAAAAGTGAATTAAATAATTCTTTCTAGTAAATAAAGCATTTAAGAAAGAACATAAACTCCACCTCAGTCCCCACAATACAAGATTAAAATGAAAAATAGAACCCAGAGAATATTTAAGTGCATCTCATTGATCATAGTTTAACATTCTAAAAATATAGATAAACTAACCTTAGCACCAGATATGGTTTGACTTTGCTCAATGACTTCAGCAGTCAAAATATTGCTTTGATGAGGTACTTCAACTTGAGGGTCAGCACATATTTCATTGTCATGGGCAATTCGTTCCTCAAGGGCTTCCTGCATTGTGCTTTTGACCAACGTATGTCCAAGATTTTTTTCTCGCTCCTCATTGCCAGAGGCATATGTATTTCCAAGGTCATCCACAGGACTACTTGTTTCAACAGATTCCGTGTTTGTTCCATCTACCTGGCTACCATGGACAAGATTTCCATTGCTACATGCTTCAACCAATTCCTGGCTTGTCTTATCAACTTCGTTACCACTAATTACACTTCCACTTCCATATGCTTCATTAAATTCCTTGTTACTTACATCCACATGGCTACCATTGAGTGTATTCCCATTGTCAGACAACTAACCCTCAACTATAGTATGCTACTCAAAAAACATTTTGTCACTCGTATCCGGCAGACTGCTAGGATCATGATGATTTTAATTTGGAGATGCAGCAAGGTAAGTTTTAGGATCTACAGCAATTGAACCTAATAGATCTTGTTCCAAAACCTGGTGAGAGGGATGCTCCTCTAAAGTGGACTTTGCAGGCCCCAACACTCTGTTCTCCTGGATTATATCTCGTACAATCTCCCGTACTGTGTAGAAACAACCACCAACTTCCTTATGGGTAAGATTAAGTGATGGGAAGCTTCCATTGTTAGACTCTTGGTACCTGAAGCAATGGTTTCAGTCAGTGAAACTAAACAGAGGCACTACATTCAATATGACACTGGCAAAAGGGCTTTGATTGAGAGTAAATTAAATGACAAGAATAATTTGGGAATCTTCTAAGAACTCAACCTCTCAGTATAAGAATCCAGAGAGAGAGAGAGAGAGAGAGAGAGAACAAAAAGTTGGATAATATCAAATAACAGAAAGTGAACTAAATACAATTCATCTGTATAAAAAAAGGTACTTACTAAAGATGCAAAACAAACCAATCAGATTAACAATAGATTGATACTAAGATTTCAATCTATTGAGTCCCATCTACCCCATCCAGATACAGTTAGTTAGGTAAGGATGCCAAATAATAGTCAGATGTCAAATATCATACCAATGAATTTGATATAAGAGAAAGATGGGAAATGGGAGAGAAAGAGGGAGAATTAGAAAGGGAAAGATTGAACAGAGAGATCTCATAGCCTAATTACAAACTATCCAACTCCCCTTACTTATAGACCTAAGAATTCATTAACCAACTCTCCCCTTTTATTACAATTATACATCAGAATTTATAGTATCAAATAGGTAGTTCACGCAAGTCTATAGTTAATGACCAGTACAAAGAAGTATATTACACGCTAAGCAGGAAACTGCCTAACTTAAACAAAATTTAGGCACGGCTATATAGGAAAACTACAAAAATAAAACATTAGACAGGAACGTTAAATAAACTGCAAAGAACATTTTTAAAATGCTAATGTAAGTGTAAAACTCTTCAAATTCATTTATACAGGTAAATCGCGCCCACCAACTCACCAGAACTGGGAGTATGTTACATGCCCTCAATTGCATGCATTGCAGACATGATTTACTCCCGGCATCTACACATTATCCTAGAAATGTAAACGGAATGACCCACCATTACCAACCAATATCAGAATTTGATGAGCAACATATCTAAAATTACCTTTAGTGTCCCCCTCAATAAGATTCTTTTGCAAAAACCGAAAATAGATTCGGACATGCAGACAGACTCCTTTTGAGAAAAGAAGAAATGGACAAGTTCTTTTATAAAAATTTTTTAAAGAAAGTACAGAAAATGAATATCTCGAAATCGAAAAACTCAATCATATGGAGAGCAGAGTATAATTACTTCTTTATAAAGGTTTCAACCATTGCCTTCCTTTCCTCTTTCGAATGGCTAATCCTCGATTTTCTGACTTCAGACTCATTGCGCTTAGCAAGGGCAAAAGTTTGGCCCACCCAGGCACCCTTTACACCATGCATTGTGTTAGCAGAATGCGAAAGAGCACATACTACAAGGATTAACTATGATAGCCAAGGAACAGAGATAACATGGAGAGAGAACGAAGAAGACGACGAGACGATTAGCGCAAGGGCCCTTTGGTGGCAAGATTGTATTTTATGGGTAGGAGATGAAAAGGAAGGAAATGTACGTAAGAATGTAATTTTGTTAAAAATTGTTTTTTGGAAAAAAAATTGAAGAAAAGACAACTTCATTAAATAGGATAAAAAGATTACAAGGTAACACAAGGGGAAAAAAAGGGGGTTAAGGCGAATTCATTTCAGTATCTCGAAATATTTTCTCTATTACATCCATCATCCTAAAATATTTTGTGGTACATCCAGCAGCCTAAAGTATTTTTTTTAAATGCATCTGACATCCAAAAATATTTTTTGGTGCAATAATAATAACAACAACAACATTGTAAGTGTGAATGGAGAACGAGGTTGTTGATCTCGAGGACAATAATAGCATTTTGTTCTAAACATCTCCTTTTAATGTCTTAAGAAGTTATTTAAGTACTACCTCTGATCCTAATTATAAGAGTCAGTTGACTAATTTGAGGAGATTAAGAAAGTAAGGTGAGTTAGTTATTTGTCCTAAATAGGTGTTGTATTTCCTAAAATATCCTTATTAATCAAGTGTAGTGACTAGAACTATCATTGTTAGAGGGGCTACTTTAGAAAAAAAATGTATAAATATGAATGATAAAGTGGATTAGAGTCTTATATTTAGGACCAAAATAAAAGTCAAACTGGGTCTTATATTAAGGACTGGAGGTAGTATTTAAACTCTAAGATAAAGTTAAATTATACTCTTTTGATTTTATTTATAACACAGAGATAGAAAATATATGTATCAATAAAAGTTACATATAAATATGATTAAAGGGGTGTTGGAAGGAAAAAAAAAAAGAGTATTTTTCATGAAGTTTAAGCTTATCACATTTCGCTTAAGAAAAACAATTAATACTACCTTCGTTGTTTGATATGAGATCTAGTTTGTACCCCGTTGAAAAGAAAGGATGAATCCACACTTAAGAATGATTAAATTCTCAAAATAATTGCTCTCATTTCTCCCACGAGGACTTTATTCTCAAAATATCAGAAAAGAATGAAATTTTAAAAAAAATCAAATAATTTTTTTGTGACGGAACAAATATCTCTCATTTCTCTCCCGAGCACTTTATCTTCACTTTATCGCACTATGTATTATTTGGGAACATAATAAATCTTTGATCCTTAGCCCAAAACGAATTTTTAAAAGAATGGAAAAATTTCAAGTATATTTAGAATTAAATAGAACTTGTCAGCATGACAAAAACGAATAAGAATGAGTATCCAAACCCCAAAGCTAAAACCATACCGCACCTGTGTCTAGGCATTGCATTCCCAAGGAACAAAGTTGAAGGAGAGAATGACAGACAACATCCTCTGCACTTGTGACCACGTATTGCTTAGCCTGTGCTTAGACAAGATTTCATACTCTTGGGCTGCTTTAATGTTAGGGATTTTTTTGGTTGCGGAATAGAAAAAAATTTTGATTTCGTAATTGTGATATTGTCATCTCGCCAAAAGGGAAAAAGAAATCAATTTATGCCAAACTCTCTCCTTCATTAAACCACATTTATGCCATTCCTCCATTGCTTCCTTTGCCTCATCACCTTGTTTTCTTCATCATTGCCATGACACCCAGCGCCCCAAGTATTAATACCCAGCACCTTATTTTATATATGGTGCTGTCATCTTGTTGAGATTGATATTAAAGAAATGAAAAATTGCTAAAAAAATATTCTCCATTGCAAAATATAAGAACCTAGGTGCTTAATTGAATATAAGTTACACACAGCTGAAGAAAAACTGTGCCTAAATTTTTGTTCAAATTTTATGTAGCTTTAAGCAATAACTTAAAATAAGGATTTTCCAACAATTTTTTCGGAAACAAGAAATCACCCAACACCCGATCCTCATGACCTTCCCTCTTTTCCATGCAGACACTGCCTTCTCATTGACCTCTTGCGACTTGAGCGAAGACAGCTGAGCATAACAGTTAAATAAAAAATAAAAAAATTTGACATCTATATTAAGAATAACTTATCACCCGTTAGGCTTCCATGCAACCTAAAATAAATTATACTCCTCCGGCCTTAATATAGATTAAAGATATTAGTTAAATTAGTTAATATGATATTTTTTCCTAAAACACTTTAATTACCTTTCTTAATTCTCTCCCTCCCTCTCCTACTTAATTATTATTGGGTTGATTGAAAAAAAGATAAAAATATTAAATAAATCTTACATATAGGACCAATATTAACTCTCAAATTAGATCCTATATCATTAAGAACTGGAGGAGTAATCATTTTTTTCCTTAAATAATCTCATATACTATCTCCGAACCTAATTATAAGATCTATTTTATAGTCTACAAATGAAGTCTTATAATTAAAACCGGATGTAGTACAACTAAAATGTATATGGTTAATAATATCTTTCTTTTTCTTTTTTCTTTTTGGGTGTACAATAATATATTTCTTAAGTAACACAGCAAGCCATTACACTTCATAACGTATTATAAAATATCAGAGGACAAAGTTTAACATAATCGCTTCTGGTCATAATTCCATGTCTATGGTAAACCAGACATGTTAGTCAGGAAAAACCACATTGAAGACATCTATACTTTCTCCTTAATTTTAATTTGACACGTGCTTTTTATTAATTAAATCATTTAATTTTACTTTTTTAATATCATTATTAGTTCTTGTAACTTTATTCTATTAGCATTTTTAGTCTCTATGCAAGAGTTAACAATATTATTAGAGTAAAATTAAAGATTTTATAAATTAAAAAAACACATAAATTAAAATATACACATACACCTCCAAAATGGTCCTCCCTCTTAGTTACATGCTTACATCTCAAACTTACAAACACTTGATATACATACATACATGTACATGTATACATTACGGTTCCAAAAGGACTAGCTACAAATTATATATATATGTATATGTATATGTGTGTAGACACACACATATACATGTCCATTCAAACATATGCTCCATGTCAGGGTCTATTTACATTGATTTCTCCTCGCCAAATCCTAATGCTTTCTGCAACACCTCACTTTTATATACTAATAGGATCATTTTAACATCTGTGAATCACTAATGCCAGGTTTCCGTCTTGGGAAAAGACAGGGAATTTTTTTTTTTCCTTTTAACATTGGAATCCGTTGATCGAATATTTCAAACCTTCAGATAACTGATGAGTGATCCAATATCAACCCTACTTTCAACTTAATCTATTATCACCTAAAATAATTTCATACTATACAATCTTATAATAATATATTAAAAATAAAGCAACGCTCTTGGTAGATAGCATTTATGTGCACCTGGCAATGCTCACCTCCTTCTTCTAGAGGATACAAAATAATATTTCCATAAAGCAAGTAAAGTTACTTGCCCAAATATTTTACTATACAATTTACAGAATTATAACAGGTATCTCTGCTCTTCAATCAGCCCACCTTCTTCTTAAACAACCTCCTTGTCCTTCGGGCTACTAGCTTTCACTGTTCAGCATAAATTGGAGGGTGAGATTCCGAAGAATCCCCGTAGTAGTAATTTCCATCAAACAAATGTGCAGATCACATAAAGCATGCAAAACAAGCCATATGGAACATAACCTTGCAAGCTAATGCAATTAAGCATTTATGCGCAATGACAGAAAGACAAGCTGAATAAATAATGCGCAAATAATTGGCAATCACTGCCCCATGTCTATCAGCTACACGTGATCACGGCTAAATAATCCATGCAAGGAATTAAGGATTACATGTTCTCATGCTTTTTGAATAGCAATATGGCACAAACAGACATGCAGCAATCATACACAAGTGTAAGGGAGGAAAGAACTACTACCTGGACGGCCTCCCTCCAAATCAAACCTTACCGTTCTCCTTTCTTTCTGCTTCTTGGTGGGCTTGAGCAGATATCAAAACCTATTATTTTAGTAAGGGTAGGTTAATGCTTGATCCAACTAAAATTCATAAATTAGAAATCTCTCTTTAAATCCCAATCCTTTTTCAATCTCTACCCTTACTTAGTAGTTGGTCATCCTGGACAATTTTTTCTTATTTAATACATTTACTGTGGAGAGTTTCTCTCTTTATCTCAGCCCAAATAGTTACTTTTCTTAGTAACTGATCATCTTGGTCAAAAATAATATATTATATACACCCACAAGTCTTCTATCTTTAAAATATTTTCTATTAACACTTCATATTAAATCTCAAAATTATTCTCCAGTTTTGAAAATCATCGTCACAGCACTTTGATAAATTTCTAACCATATTCTAAAACAACTATATATAACAACTCTATTAGCCTTTAATTACGCTTATCCCCTTGCCTTACAAGCTTACTAATTGAAAGTGTGTACACATACACAAATATATACTTTATAGCACTTCCCATGCCAAACACCCAACATATCGCCCATTCCTACTTCCTAACACCCTTCGGACATCACTAATAATATATATACCTTTATATATTGATTTGCCTTCACTTCTTTGCCTTTTATAGAAACAGAGCCTATTAACCCCACACTTCTATGGCATCAGCGTGTAAATATATACGTTTACACTATCTTAGATTCTAAAATTTCACCCCCACCGTCACACTCGTGCAAGCAAACATATATATAATCACCTTCTTTCATCGTTCCACACCCAAAATAAGACACCATTATTAGAAATCATTCAAATCATTCAACCCCTGTTTCGAAGGCCACAAACCGACTTGCAACCAGAAAATATATACATATATATTCATCACTTCAATTCCACAGAACCCGACGCCAACCCCTAAACTATTAAACCCAGTTTCGTCGGTCAACCCAGCAACTCCACTCCTAACAGCGTCGTATTAACGTTTCTATAACCCAAGAACTGAGGTTTATTATCTGGTTAC